TTCTAGTTTTATGTTTACCTGCTTACATGAAAATACTTTTGAATTCAATGGGTTTGACTGAGTAGACAAGTTTAGAATGCTCCTGTAAACTAACACTAAAATTGCACCAGCAAGTATCATCTAGGCTATGCTCCTGTAGTGTCAGGAAAAGAACCAAGAATCTGATTTGGATACTATTAAGAAATTGTAGCGTCTGCTTTTTTGATCGCATCCAAATCTTGCAAATGCTTTTGATTTTCCTTTCTATACACATAAATCAGCTTCCCAATATATCTCATTCCTGTAGGCCATGCTGTTTTATCTCAAGAGGCACTGTTTCCTGGGCCAGGATAATGTTTTGTACCTCTATTTTCTCATGTATACTTTGCTCATGGATATTGGGAGACGTTCACAAACACAGCCTTTTTTCTTAAACTGTAGCCTTCCCTATTTGTCATTCATAAGTAATGTGTGAATAATGCTGACATAAAAACATTGGAACATCTTCACCAAATTATAAGAGCTGAGTAAATACAGATTACTCTTTTTCATGAGTAAAAAAGGCAATAAGCTGTTTTGCAGTTAATGATGCAAAATAATAAGTTGTGTCAGGAAAGTGACTAGCCGTTGCAGCCACTTTTGTTATATAGAAAAGAGTTTTGAGAGAACTACTAATAAGATACCGTACAGAATTTTTAAAAGTAACAATATAGAGGAGGAACTGAAACTCTACTTTGTCCCTTCCTTTTCTAACCTCGTTTTTCTTTTGTCTTTCAAATGTCATGCAAAAATTAGATTGGCGTGTATGCAGACACATACAAACACACACATACACACAAAATATAATTACTATTGCCAGCCTTAGCATTGGAACAGAGACCAAAGGATGTCATGGATGGCTGTTCTATGTCAATCATAAACAAATAGTGGAAACAATTATGTTTATGATAACCCTCCTAAAAAAGACCAGTTGGCAACAACAAGAAATTGAGAATTAGAAAAGCCGAGAGTTGGGAAAAGTGTTATTTAACTTAATTTGTATATGTCATGTTAATATTTATTTAAAATATGCATCTATTACCAGCTGGGCAATACAGACTCTTAATTTATGGCCTTAAAGCTCTTTTGCATTTCAAATTTCAGATTCTGGTTATTTAGTGATTTATTTGATTTTTATCCTGCTATTATGTTTTATATCATTTTTGGCTTTTCTTTCACTCAATGGAGGAATTCAAATTATTTCACTACCGGTTCTGTGGGCATGGCTATGTGGTCATGTGACTGGGTGGGTGTGGCTATGTGGTCATGTGACTAGGCGGTCAAAAGACAGAAACTCACTTTCTGGAGCAGGGGGTTGGACTGGATGAGCTCCAGGTACCTTCCAGCCCTGGATTGCTGTGCTGTTTCAAAGCTTTTTCTGAAGCTGCGTCTAGTGCAGGGCTCTTCAAACTTGACAGCTTTAAGACTTGTGGACTTCAACTCCCAGAATTCCTCCTCCAGTCATGTTAGCTCAGAAATTCTGGGAGTTGGAGTTCACAAGTCTTAAACCTGCCAAGTTTGAAGACCCTTGGTCTACTGGCAAGGTTTGTGGTCCTTCCTTCCTCTCCTTTTTCCCACCCACCCACCCTCCCTTTCTTTTTCTTTTTTCTTTCTCTTTTTCTTTCTCCCCTCCCTCTCTTTTTTTTGCAGCACTCCCCTGCGCCCCATTTTTGGCCTAGTGGGCCTCAGGGAAGCCTCCTGGGAGCTGAAAAAAGCAGCATTTTGAAGGGGAGGGGGAATCAGCTGTGCCGTGCAATTTAGATTAGCTAGAAAGCAAGAAATCCGATGATTTCCTGCTTTCTAGCTAATCTGAATCGCGCAGCACAGCTGATTGCCGCACAGCTGATCGTCGGAAATACCGGTTTGGCCAAACTGGTAGCAATTTTTTTACTGAACCGGTAGAATACCACCACTGACATATTTCAATGCCTTTCCCTACCATAATTGACCAAGCAAGATCATAATGTCTAATAAGCAGTCACCATCAGCAAGTAAGCCCGTTTTTGGTTAAAGATTTTACTACTACATTCTCTTTATCAAATATTCCCACAGTTGGTCTCTTTATAAAAGTTCCAGAAAGAAATTAAAGAAAACCAGTGTACTTGGCCATTAAACTTGCATAGTATCATACCAAGCGGTACTAAAAGCCAGTATTTGTTCAAATTTGCTTAATTCAAGGAGGGGAGAATGCAGTTGTAAGTAGAACAGCAGATCTCCCTAACATATTTTGCGTACCTGTACTTTGAAAGTACCTTGAAGGTACTTTGAAGGGCATGAAGGAACTGGAATATTTAGTCCTTAAAAAGGACTGGGAGGAAATGGGATAGCACCTGTTAAATATCTGAAAGAATGTCACAGAGAAAAAGATTAAGGCCTGTTGTCTGTCTTTTTGGAATTCAGGACAAGGAAGACAAGAGTTATGTTACAGGAAGACAGATCCTATAAATCTACTTACTATTAAACATGTAATAGTAAGAGCAACGCAAGAGTGGAAGGAATAAGCAGTTAAGGATGGAATTATAATCACTGGTTGTGTTAAAGCAGGACTCAGCCAAATGCTTTATGTTTCATTCATGCATTGAACAGAGGTTGGACTTAATACCAAAAGGTTCCTTCAGATTCTGTGGTTCTATTTTACATGTTATCTTATTCCTTTTTAAAACTCACTTCACTTTTATTGCTGATTTTTCTATGATACATATGGTGTTGTCACAATCTCTATTATTTTGCTACAGTGTTTCTCTATTGTTTTTAATGACATGTTCAAATTGGGTAGGGGTCTAGTCACTTCCATATTTCATCTTTTTAAATGATGGCAAGGAGCCATGCTTTATTTTTATTTTATTAATATAACACATCTCAAACAAGCAGGTATTTTTGGGTTGTGATTGTAGCTGCCAAATCCTAAAAAAGTCTTTTAAATGCAGTGTACGCAACGAAGTACGGACAAAATGAGACCACTAAGAAAGAAAAAGAAAATTTAGCCCAAAGTTACAAAAATGTATAAAATAAAATAAAATTTTAAAAACTCCAAACAAACTCAGAGCAATCCTGCAGCAGAGGAGAGGAAAAATATGGCTTGCTGGATCACAGAGTTGGAGTGAAAGAATAACATAAGTCCAGGTATTTTTAGCCTAATGCCAGATTTATATCCTTGTTTGTTTTAACAAGCTTTATTTCATGTTAAAAGCAGACCATGAAGACATGATCCCTATGTCAAACAAGAGCTAAATTAATGATTGTATCATACAGTTTTCATCATCAGAAGGCAATGCCTTCAGCAATCAGTCTATATACTGCGTAATCCACTGTCAGTCTGACATGCTACAACAATTACACAAGCAAAAAATTTTTTCCATCTTCTTTATAACATGGTAATACACTGCTCAAAAAAATAAAGGGAACACTTAAACAACACAATGTAACTCCAAGTCGATCACACTTCTGTGAAATCAAACTGTCCACTTAGGTAGCAACACTGATTGACAATCAATTTCACATGCTGTTGTGCAAATGGAATAGACAACAGGTGGAAAGCATAGGCAGTTAGCAAGACATCCCCAATAAAGGAGTGGTTCTGCAGGTGGTGACCACAGACCACTTCTCAGGTCCTATGCTTTCTGGCTGATGGTTTGGTCACTTTTGAATGCTGGCGGTGCTTTCACTCTAGTGGTAGCATGAGACGGAGTCTACAACCCACACAAGTGGCTCAGGTAGTGCAGCTCATCCAGGATGGCACATTAATGCGAGCTGTGGCAAGAAGGATTGCTGTGTCTGTCAGCATAGTGTCCAGAGCATGGAGGTGCTACCAGGAGACAAGCCACTACATCAGGAGATGTGGAGGAGGCCGTAGGCGGGCAACAACACAGCATCAGGACTGCTACCTTCACCTTTGTGCAAGGAGGGACAGGAGGAGCACTACCAGAACCTTGCAAAATGACCTCCAGCGGGCCACAAATGTGCATGTGGCTGCTCAAACGGTCAGAAACAGACTCCATGAGGGTGGTATGAGGGCCTAATGTCCACAGGTGGGGATTGTGCTTACAGCCCAACACCATGCAGGACCTTTGGCATTTGCCAGAGAACACCAAGATTGGCAAATTTGCCACTGGCGTCCTGTGCTCTTCACAGATGAAAACAGGTTCACACTGAGCACATGTGACAGACGTGACAGGGTGTGGAGACGCCATGGAGAATGTTCTGCTGCCTGCAACATCCTCCAGCATGACCAGTTTGGCACTGGGTCAGTAATGGTGTGCGGTGGCATTTCTTTTGGGGGCCGCACAGCCCTCCATGTGCTCGCCAGAGGTAGCCTGACTGCCATAAGGTACCGAGATGAGATCCTCAGACCCCTTGTGAGACCATATGCTGGTGCGGTTGGCCCTGGGTTCTTCCTAATGCAAGACAATGCTAGACCTCATGTGGCTGGAGTGTGTCAGCAGTTCCTGCAAGACGAAGGCATTGATGCTATGGACTGGCCCGCCCACTCCCCAGACCTGAATCCAATTGAGCACATCTGGGACATCATGTCTCGCTCCATCCACCAATGCCACGTTGCACCACAGACTGTCCAGGAGTTGGGGGATGCTTTAGTCCAGGTGTGGGAGGAGATCCCTCAGGAGACCATCTGCCACCTCATCAGGAGCATGCCCAGGCATTGTAGGGAGGTCATACAGGTACGTGGAGGCCACACACACTACTGAGCCTCATTTTGACTTGTTTTAAGGACATTACATCAAAGTTGGATCAGCCTGTAGTGTTTTTTTCCACTTTAATTTTGAGTGTAACTCCAAATCCAGACCTCCATGGGTTGCTAAATTTGATTTCCATTGATAATTATTGTTGTCAGCACATTCAACTATGTAATGAACAAAGTATTTAATAAGAATATTTAATTCATTCAGATCTAGGATGTCTTATTTTTGTGTTCCCTTTATTTTTTTGAGCAGTGTATGTCTAATTATCCATCTTCTTGCTGACAGGTATTTGTGTTTTGCCATGGCCTGATGCAGCTGTCTCAACTCCTCTACAGTGCTTACTTTAAGAGTAGCTTGACTACCATCGAGAAGCGCTTTGGCCTCTCCAGTTTGTCCTCTGGCTTTATCTCCAGTTTACATGAGGTAATTGTGTCAGCTGAACTGCTTCAGGGTGAATCTGTGGTAGACTTACTCTAGCTCAAGGGTGTCAAACTCATGTCGTCACATCGGCATCACGTGACATATCAGGACTTTTCCCCTCTTTGCTAAACTGGGCCAGTACGTGATGCATTGGCCCGTGGACCGGGAGTTTGACAGCCCTTCTCTAGCTGAACTTCCAAAATGTGATGGAAATGTGGTTGTACCAGTATCTACTGTACATTGGATTAATAGGCTACATATAGGCTATACATTTTTTTCACACTGATTAATCTGAGAATATAAAAATGAGGCATAGAGACTACTATATATGTCACATATTATCTATTTTCTATGCAGTGCGGATTGTCTAAGATACCATGTTTTCCATGGCATCTAAATTAAAAATAAGTGATAAGTAGTATTACAAAAATGGACTAACTGCATGTACATGTGCACTGGGAAGCATAGGGAGTGGAGTCAGGCACTCCACTCTGGGTAATGCATTCAGGACAGGGGCCTTAGGTAATTTCTATGTCAGTGAATTACAGTATATTGTAGCATCATATTAGAGCAGTGGTGGTATAGTGATTAGAATGCAGTACTGCAGACTACTTCTGCTGATTGTCTGCTGCCTACAGTTTGGCAGTTCAAATCTCACCCGGCTCAAGGTTGACTCAGCCTTCCATCCTTCTGAGATCAGTAAAATGAGAACCCATATTATTGGGTGGGGGCATATGTTGAGTCTATAAACTGTTTAGAGAGGGCTGTAAAGCACCGTGAAGCGGTACATAAACCCTATTGCTATCATCTAGCCACCTATGGCATGAGATTGATATAGCAATGGCTGGATGACTGTGGCAACTTTAAGATGTGTGGACTTCAATTCCCAGAATTCCACAGCCAACTTGAAGTAATCCACACATCTTAAAGATGCTGAGTTTAAAAAATAAAGGTTTGGAACATGCTATAGGTTACTAATATGGAAATTGATCTTAGAATAGAGGAATCAGAAGCATTGAGGCATTACCTCGAGATATGCCTCTAACTAGATATGTTTTTTTCTGGAGTGTTTTTTGTTGCACCTTCAAACTTGATCTAGTCCATTAAAAAAAATAGATTTTTTGTTGATTTCTCTTATACCATTCTGTTCGATTTTCAAAGGGATAATTTGCTGGTGGAAGGCATCCTGAGTCCTTTACATAACTTCTTTCCACATTTTGGTAGGTTGGAAAGAATAAAAATGAGAGCAGAATCACTGATTAGAAATTAAGATAAGAGTGTTGCATGGTTCCATAAGGAAGGAAGAATTTCTAAATCTCACATTGATCATAAAAGCAGCTAGATTTTTAACAGCACCTCATTAGATATTGTAATAGGAAAAATGCCCATTTATATAAGGAACCATAGTACTTGGACATAAATGCAACAAAATATCTTTTAATGGCATGCACAACTACAATCTTTCCTTGTCAAAGGAATGCAGAAAAGCTCTGAAATTTCACAGATTATATACAGTTTGAAATGATACATAAGAATTATACAATGCAATGTAAATAAAAGCATTTTCTTTACATGCAAAATGTAGCAACTGATTAATACATGAGGTGATCTAACTATGGGATGATCAGGTACCTTTAAGTTCCACTACTGTTATTACTGATACCAGCATCTTATGACATATTTTATTGTACTTATGTATTGATTCCTTTCACACCAAGGAAAAGACTACAATCTGGTTTTTAATTATCTGTCTCCTGCTCCTCCAGGAAACCATCAGACGGTTTCAGTTGGCCTGTTCGTTCAGCTGCAGAATTCAAAATCTCTCAGGGATCATGCTTATAAGGATAAAAATATTATTTGTTCCCCTTAATATGTTTCCCATTCCATTATCCAGACTATTTTAGAGTAAACTAGTCATTCTGATATCCAACTTCTTCATTCACCTTCTCCAGATATTAAGGGTGCACATTTGTGTCTTCCAGTTGCTTCAGATTAGTTTCCATAATTCCTTAGTTGACCGTGATGGTTGGAGCTATGGGAATTAAATTTTAAGAGGTTACTGGCTTTTGTTTCTGATAATTACAATAACAATGCATTTATTTCAGATTGCTCACTAACACAGGATGGACAAAATGCTAGAGTTAAAATCCTTTTCAACTAATTTCTTTTTAACCTATTTTATTCAAGATTCCAAATCGTTGCTTCTAGAGATGTTTCTGTTTCCCACATTTGGGTAGGTTGGAAAGAATAATCCACTTTTGAGCAGTAAATTTAAGGACTTTTTCTCTGGACTTAAAAGTGACAATAAATCTTTCCTAAGATGCAAAGTAGGGACAAATGTTTTCTTTACCTTTTATTGTGAAATAACACCATAGTATTATGGTGTTGTTCGTGTTTGTTTTAGGGTACCCTTCCCTAACTATGGCTGTCCAGATGCATTTAGATGGAAAAATTTCCAGTCAGGGTTTATATTTGGCCATAGTGATCAAACATTCTGAGAAGACAACTGCAATGGTCAGCTGAGACTGTTTTTATTTTTACATAATTCCCAGAGTTATTTTATACAGGTTATTCCTATATAGAGGTTTATAGCTGAGAGTTTTATTTTGGGAAGGGCAGAGTATGCAGCTCAGTGTCAGAGGACATGATTTTCCTGAAGAAGGCCCAAAGTTCATTTGTTAGCATCCTAAAATAGGCATTAGAGAGCTACTACCATGTGATGATGTTGGTATATTAGGTGTGTCTGAGTACACATTGGTTTTTACACATCTCTGCCAATTTTGGTTCCATGTCATTTGCTTTTCTAGACGATCATTTGAAAGTCCTGAAACTGGGCTTATATATTATAGTGCAATCCAAAGACTGTATATGTAGAAACACATTCCATTAATACCAGCTGATACATGTAAATATTGAATTCACACATATTGTGTTTTGTTTGGATTTGTCATATGATCCCACTGTGATTTATTCTGTAAAATATAAAGTATAAAATATGTAGAAATTCAACAAATTGTCTGCAGATGCAGTTCTAAAACTCAGTAGAAATGTTTTGCAATTAATATGTTACAAACATCAAAACACTTTGTCTCGAGCTGAACAGCCTCCAGATGTGTGGACTACAATTCCTAGAATTGTCAGCAAAGGCCATTCTGGCAAGAAATGTTAGGAGGTGGTCCACATATCTGGATGACATCCAGAGGAAAGCTGTTCCAACAGAACTCCAAGCACATTGCCTCATTTACGGTAGGAAACACAGGAACTTTTAAAATATTTTTTATATTAAAAAGACATGGTCTTACTCTTAAGGGTCACCATGATGTCTGCTTTGTGATGTTCTTCCACGAAAATTTCTTCATGGTCACATTTATTCTAGCCCACAAACAGCTATCATTACTGTCCTGCCAAATACATATGTTTTTGCTTGGAACTATTTTTCATACTTTTTCTATAAGCTCCCCTGCCTGATGACTAGGATTTCTCAGTTATGTGTTAGAATGATTCCAACAGCTGGGCCAAAAAAGATATTCTAATGTACAGATGGAATAATAGAAAAATATGTGGATGAAAGGGTTGAAATTTACATTGTTAATCTTTTTTTAAACTAAAAACTATTAGTATATGTCAACAGAGATTGTCCATAATATATAAAGACCCTTAAAATGTTGGAAATGTGAACAAGAAGGGACATTTTATCATCCCTGATGGATGTGTCAAAAGCTAGAAAACTCTGGATTCAAATACATTCATTAACTAAGAGAATTTAAAGGTTAATATGAAATTGAAGTCAGATGATTTTCTTTTAGGATTCATGGACAAACAGTTGGGAAAAAACATGGAACTTGTTTTTATATGTGATAACTGCAAGATTATTATTATATGTACAAATACGGAATGATTTGGCACTACCCGCAAATGGAGGAATGATTATGGTAGACAATAGAACTTGCTGAGGTGGCTAAATTGACTTCTTTGATCAGAGAAATGATAACATCTACATTCATTGCTGACTGAAGCACTTTATACGCTTTTTGCTTAAAACAGAAAATAATGAATTTATGATTTATGCTTTGACGATTAAATAAATTATAGAAAAAAGAGAATTATGGTATAGTAATAGAAGAAGATGTAAACCTGTAATTGTATTTATAACTGCTGTAAAGACCAGAAGCCAATTCTTTGCATCTTTTTTCTTTTGTTTTTTTTTTAACTTTTCTCTCCTTGCATTTTTAGCTTTCTCTTTGATTTCTATCTTCTTCTTCTTCTATCTTTTCTACTTTATATTAATTAATATTAGTATTACATTAAAAAAGATCTTTTATAAAATTGTATATTGAAAAAATGATTCCATCAGCTGTAAAACCAAGAAAGAATGACAGTGTGTATGTGTATTAATGGTGTGGTGTGTGTGTGTATTCACAGTTAGAAAATCTGTTCTAGTTCTAAGACAGAGAAAACAAGAAAATGAAGGAGAAAAAGATCCAGACGATCCTTCTCCTCTTCATCATGTGGAGTCACTAACAGATGTCTTCCTTTGGGACTCTCCTAACACATCTGTATATTTTTGTCTCTCTACAGATTGGCAATGTCATCCTCATCATCTTTGTGAGCTACTTTGGTAGTCGAGTTCATCGACCTCGGATCATTGGCCTGGGAGGTCTCCTGTTGGCACTAGGGGCCTTCCTTTTGACTCTTCCACATTTCCTTTCTGGACGATATGAATATTCTTCAGCACAAATTAGTATGTAACTTTCTTGAACTCTTTTCTTTTCCAAGCCCTTTGTAGATATTCTAAAGTTTAATGGAGCTCCCTACCTTTTTTTTTTTGCTTTTGCTTTCTTTCCTACCTTCAGTTTGGAACGATCCCCAAATTCTTGATTTGTTCTTGTTAAATCCTGTGTGGTAGTATATGATTCTCCCTAGCAGGTAGGTCTGGAAGGTTACTTGCATGTTAAAGTAACTTGGCCTTTGGCCATCTTAACTTCCAACATTCCCTGCAGGGCTATGTGCAGTCTCTTTGTAATAACTTGTCTACTCTGAGCATGCCAAGCTGGATCAGGACCAGTTGAGTCTGAGGCAGTGCAAGTTTTGGGTGTCATTGATTATTCTATGTATTGAATTGGTGCTCTGAACGTATCGGGATTCTTTGATGCTATCAAAATGAGTAGAAATTGTCTGCAGATAGAGAAGTAAGGGTAATCAGGACATTGTTGCATAGTACATGCTTTTATTGTGGTCAAAGTCTTATAAAAAGAGAATGTTCAATCTATATATGATACATATTTTATCTGTATTAAGGAAAAACATCAACAGGAAAAACAAAACAAAGAAAAAAAGGGAAAGGAACAGAATACATATACGTAGATACATAGCAATATATATATATATATATATATATATAGAGCACTATATATATATATATATATATATATATATATATATATATATATATATCACTCATCTATGTTATTTATCTTTTTTAAGATAAATTGATGATATATAAGCTTTACATTGAGATAAAGATTGAAGTGACAATTCAAAAGATGAGATTTGATACAATTATATAAAAATTAAAAACAAAAATTTAAAAAGATAAAACATATGTCTAAGAAAAAAAGTATTATTACCATCTCTCTTTGGTTCTTTTTTTTCTTCTACTTTAATATTGCTATAGTGCAGTATGTTTTAAACTTCCATATTATTGTTCATTTCAATTTAGACCTAAAAGGAAACTGTTGATTTATACATTGATTTATTATATAGTCAGCTTGCCTTCTGGCATTTCCCACATTTCCTTTTAATATCAGGTAGAAACTAAGAGCCTGATGTACTCTACTCAAAAAGAGTTCAACATCTGCTTGGCAGGAGCAATTGTTTCTAGTGACATCAACTGGATTTGATTGCTCAGTTGCCAAGGATTTGGATTCAAATTCTGAATTTGTAAACAGTATGCTATTCATCAAAAGGCAACACAGGATGATGGGTAAAAGAATTCATTTAGGAAGCATTAGCAGATACATTTGGCTTCTCTTAAACCTTCTAATCATACATGGAATCATGTAATAGTATCTTTTAATTCTGCGGTCATGATATTTATCTATAAAGTATCCAGCAAGTATGCAAGAAAACTCATTTGTTCCTGGAAGAGGAAATCTGGATATTCACAGTCACTGACAATCAGAAGTATAACATCTTACAGCATTTTCTCTTGTACTAGAATTTTTTTTTTGTTATAGCTGTCATTTTACAGAGCCATCTTTATGCAGAACAATGATGGAATAAAATCACTGGAAAGTGATGAATTTGGTAAGAAAGATCTTGGCAGAAGATTCAGCAAAAATGTTATTACCTAGATTGTGGATTTTTATTTACTATGGCTCTGTAAATCTTTCAAAAGATTGTCTCAGAACACATGAAAGCATGTATGAAATATCTCTTTTAAAATCATTAAAGAAACTTAGTCTTTTCCTAAACCTGCACAATTGGTTTGAAAGCGGCTCCCTGCTTCTCTCTCTCTCTTGCTCCCCCCCACCTCTCTTTCTCTCTCTCTCTCTCTCTCTCTCTCACACACACACACACACACACACACACACACACACACACGAGCTTCACATTATTCTCAGTAAAATGAAGTTGCCATTTCATATTAAGCTAAGAAAAGCAAAGAAAATTGGCTGTGAATTCTATTATTTTAGCAGAATTGCATGAGACTTAAAGGGAGTCCAGTAATAAAGAATTGGCAAGTTGTATGAAGACTTTTGTGGGCTCTACTCCACTGCAGGCAATGGTTCCAAAATGTTACTGTATTGTGCACCATGGATTATCAGTCAAAATCAGAAGAAACCATTTCATCCAAGTGATCATGCCAACAATTTTTAGAAACACGAATTAAGACTAAATAAAGAGGTTCTGAAGATCTTGGAGAAGATGTAATCAGTTCTCTGGAGACAAAGTCATTATGCAAAGTTCACTTGTTACTAGTAAAGGCAATAAAGACCTCTCTCGTCTGTCGAGGAATTTCTGGGTATTTCTGGGAATTGAGACTGGGCATTTTTAGTTATGTTTATTAGAGATATTCAGGCTAAATGATCTTGTGGATCATACCTCCTTATTAAATAGAATATATTCTTAGGTGTACTGAGATATTTTAAAATATAGTTTTCTTCATCATGGACTGTATTCATTTTTATAAGTTTGCCTCCAGTATACTTTTCTAAGAAGGGTTGTCTGTTGTTTCTAATTAACAATTCTTAGTTACCATTTAAATGCAATTTGTAGACTTATTTTAATTCCACATGTATATCTAAACATACTTACCTCAATTGTATGTGTGTGACGGCAGTAAACTATTTTCTTTTCCAGAAAGATCCTTTCTGATCTTCTCAGAATCTCTTCAGTAAGAATTCGGAAGTGAAAATTAAGAGCATTTATGTAAACAAACAAAAAAGAAGTTGTTGGATTGTATTATTTTTCTCATTTACCACCAAACAGTTTCAGTATTAAATATTGTACTTTGTCATGAAATGTGTCTCGAATATGGTCTTGTGGGAATTGAATTATACAAATAAATATGAATTTTTTGTGAAGGCTCCTGCATTCTGGAATTACATTCTTGGCTCCTGTGCTGTAATATTGTTGCTGTAATGAATTTATGTCAGTACAATGTATTTATTGAATTCCCTTCATTAACTGCTCAGCATGTTTTGTTTTGCTCACTTTCAAATTCATAGAAGTACACAAACCTGCATGGTAATTCATTAAATGATGAAAATTTGTGGTAATATCTGAACCAACAGTGAAAATACAAATAACAAGTTCTAGAATGTAGGAAAACTGGATGAAGAGCAAAGACTCTGTGTGTGTTTTAACTTTGCTTAGGTCATGTAATAACTATTCTCTTTTATCTTTTGATGTCTCTCTCTCCTTTTCCTCCCTTCTCCCTCAGAACCCAGGTTCTAAAAATCTTTCTGACTATACCCCTGTAACAATGCCATCATATCTTGACAGAAAAATTGATGACAGGTACTAATTAAACTAAGGAAGTTTATAGGTCTGGCAATTCTCCAGCAATCCAGGAATGAGAAATCATTAAGCAAATTTAAGGATATAATTCACTTTTCGTGTCTAGCTTGATCTTGCTAGTAGATTCCTGAGATTACAAGAATTGCAGTTGTTACCACCCATGATGTTGCTGTTACAAAGGGTGATTCTGAATGGATGTTAGCCAGCATAAGGTACTTCAGGTGCTCATAGCAGTTTTTTTTCAGTTTTCTCCCCCTCCCTCTCCTGTTCCAAAATGCTCACTTTCCACTTGTGAGGGCCTTTAGATCCCAAATAGAGTTATTATGCACCCGGAGCCTCTGTTGTTAAATGATTCTTTGTTCAGAAAGGGTGCAGAGAAGAGCAACAAAGATCACTAGGGGACTGGAGGCTAAAATATATAAAGAACGGTTGCTGGAACTGGGTATGTCCAGTCTGATGAAAAGAAGGACTAGGGGTGACATGATAGCAGTAGTCCAATATCCCTGTGGCTGCCACAAAGAAGAGTGAGCTATTCTCCAAAGAAGCTATTCTCCAAAGCACTTGAGGGCAGGACAAGAAGCAATGGGTGAAAACTAATCAAGGACAGAAGCAACTTAGAACTAAGGAGAAATTTCCTGACAGCTAGAACAATTAATTCGTGGAACAACTTGCCTCCAGAAGTTGTGAATGCTCCAACACTGGAAGTTTTTAAGAAGAGATTGGATAACCATTTGTCTGAAGTGGTGTAGGGTTTCCTGCCTAAGCAGGGGTTTGGACTAGAATATTCTGTTCTGTTCTGTTCTGTTTTACTCTACTCTACTCTACTCTACTCTACTCTACTCTACTCTACTCTACTCTACTCTACTCTATTCATCTGGACCCTAAATATGCATACCAATAACAATGGGAAATGTGGCTTGTGCTACCTCCTCGATGCTCTTTTTTTTCTCCTGGAGCATTGCAAGTGATTATGTATGAATAACCTACTGCAGGTTGATTCTCAAGTTTGCTGTTTACCCATTTTTATATATACAGTACAGGTAGTCCTCAGCTTAAAACCACAATTGAGCTTCACAATTAGGTTGCTAAGTGAGAAATTTGTTAAGTGAGTTTTGCCCCATTTTATGAGCTTTCTTGGCACATTTGTTAAGTGAATCACTGCAATTCTTAAATTAGTAACACAGTTGTTAAGTGAATCTGGTTTCCCCATTGACTTTGCTCATCAGGAGGTCTCAAAAGGGGATCACATGACTCCAGGACCCTGCAAACATCATAAATGAGAGTCAGTTGTCAAGCATCCGAATGTAAATCATGTGACCATGGGGATGCTGCAACGGTCATACAGTAAGTTTGAAAAATGGTCATAAGTCACTTTTTTCAGAACTGTTGTAACTTTGAACAGTCACTAAATGAACTATTGTAAGTCGAGGACTACCTGTAGTAATTTTCTTTTTCAAACAAAAATTCTAACACAAGATTTAATATAAGAACTTACTATCAAAAAGAGTTGATTCCCAGTGTGTTCCTCTAAAATTATTGTTGATTTTGTTCTAGATAACCAGAGCAGCCAGCCCAGGTTAGAGCTCTGTCAAGGAGGATTTAAGTGTTCGAATGCCACTGTGAATGTCAAGGCAGAGGCCAGTATCATGTGGGGATTAATGATACTTGCCCAACTCTTGGCTGGAATTGGAACAGTCCCTATCCAGCCTTTTGGAATTTCCTATGTGGATGACTTTGCTGAGCCAAACAATTCTCCTTTGTACATAGGTAAATATTTGCTTGAAAGTTGTATTGTAACATTCTTATTGTCTGGTTTGTATTACTTTAATATCAGTTTGGTGCTGGCTGAAAAGGTATCTGCTAAGCAAAGTCTCACGGTTGTGTAACTGATGTAGAAGAACTGTTTCTGATGTAACATAAGATAGGGACATAATCTTGTAATAAAACCCGCTATCCAGGAAGGAGGTGAGGCCCATATTCAATTGTGGGAACTATTGACAACATGATGACAGACTTAAAAGTCTGTTCCTGTAGGTAATGGCAGCTTTTGCCTCATGAACTTTTCTTATGAATATAATCTTAAGAAATAAACTTAGAGGTTTATAATACCTGTGACCATTGGCATTTTGTATGGTAAGGTTTTTGCAGTTTCATTGCACACTTGAACTGATGTTTCACACTTGAACTGATGCACACTTGAACTGATGCACACTCCAGAACTGATGTTTTGCTGCCTTCACTGGTAACAAACAGCCTTCTGGCAACCGCTAGATACCAACTCATGGCAGCTTATCCAGCAATTGCAGCATTGTATGCTGTATTGTAGCACCAGTGTTGCTACCTCTTTAAAATAAGCCGCGGCCCTATACAATAAAACAGGGTGTCCATCCGTCTGATGCTCCTGGGTTCTCTTACTAGATGCAACTTCTGGTAAGCTTAAGCAGGAAAAGAGAGGAAGGGGAGAAACTCCAGCCACAATGCTGACCTATATGCATAAAGACATGTTGTACAAATGCTTAGGCACCAGTCAAGCTCTAAATGCTCTTAAGCAATTTTACCACAGGTTTTAATTTGCTATTTGTTAATTAAAACAAGGCATTTGTTTGTTGTTTGGATTCAGTTTGAGGAGGCTTGTTATTTTTTAACAAAAGACACAGACAAAAGGCTTTTTCCTCCTCTTAAAAAAAACCTACTTTCAGCCTTTTAAAAAAATGATTTAAAAATGGAATAGATACAGGAGGTATGGTTCAAAACTGACAAAATCAGTTATATCCTGGTTTTGTTTCTATGATTCTTTGGTCATCTATCAATCATCTCTGTTTAGTATTGGTATGCCAGTGTTAGTTCCCAGTCCTTATGCTAGGAGAAAACAATACCAGCATAACATTTGCTATTCCCACTTGGGGATCCTGATCCTGCCAGAAGCACATTACTAGCATATCTTGTGGTCATGGTGTTTCAGAATTATTAAGGGTAATGCCAAGTGGCCATTTCCTTTGACTCCCATTAAACATCCAGTTCCATTGGGAAGTCATCACCAATCACTTTCTTTTACATGGAGAAAGCAAGTTTTTAACAGATGCTAGACCCCATGTTTAACACTCTGGGTTGTTTTTACAAGTAGTTGGCCTATGTATGTTCAAAGAAAAACAACTGATAGTCAAGTTACTTTTAGATACAGGCTTAACTCTCTTCCCAAAAAGCACTAAAACAAGATTCAGAAGCAGCCAAAACAACATTTGACAGATGTGGGAATGTTGTGCTGTGAAGGAGGAGAAAGGACCATCTCTTCCCTGCTTCACTGTGTAGTTCTCCCCACCCCATCTTGCTCTTTAGCCACTATTCAAGCTTATAAATATAACCACAGTGAGACAATTCAGTTTATAAAGTCCATAACAGCTCCTGGGCTGCATACATCTCCTGCACCACCAGCAAATAGCTGGTGAAGGACATCAGATTGTATCCACAACCTAAATATAAACCCTGGATACAAATACTATTTTAACAATGGTATAGCTAAAAATGATTTAAAGTTGGCCCAGTTAACTAGGCATTAGATGTATACAATATTATGATGATGATGATGATGCAAAAAAGATTGCTCAGCAATTAGATATGCTAGGAAAAATTATTTGGCATAACATAAGGATGCTTCCTCAAAACAAAAAAATCCTTGAGTTATTGTTGCTCTTGTGCCATTTCATATCATTTTTATGACAATGGGAACTTTCAACTCTTTATTCAGGGATTTGGTTGTCCTTATGCATGCAGAAGATTAGTTTGAAAGGCTTCATGAGCAAAACATTATATTTAGCAGCTGAAAATGAATGAGTTGCAAGTATGCTTTAAATCCAAATACTTCCAGCTAGCCTTGGTGTTCCTGCCCTGCATTGCACTATGTGATTTTGTACATTTAAAGTGGGAGATACTCTTTATTTTAGGAAAATTGTTTGGGGTTTCTTTCAGTGGCAAATAAGAGTGGATTTCCTAAAGAAGATCTGTAACAATCTACTGCAGTAAGTCTTAATTATACAATTTATTTTACCACAGTACTTTACACAGTTAGTTTGTACTACAAAATAAATATTCAGATCAAACTTCATTACAGTCTGGGAAGAATTAAGACTAATCAATTGAAAAAAATTATTCCACACAAAATAATCAACTTTTTCATTTTTTTTCTTTCTTTTCAGCAATCTTATTTTCCATCTCAGTGTTTGGTCCAGCTTTTGGCTACCTACTTGGCTCTGCAGCATTGAGGATTTTTGTAGATTTTGGACGGGTTAGCTCAAGTAAGTGTTTGATCTAATTTAGGAAAGCCATGGGCTCTCACACATAAGCTTTGAATAATCAGAGATCTGGAAATTAAGCTACAATGAATGGACAGGTCGGCTTCCATCTTTTCTAGTCCAATTCTCTCATATCTGATCTAACCATAATATTATTTTGTGATACATCTCTATTGTTTATAATGGGATTTCTAGGGAGAAATTACCATTTTATTATAATATGTTTTATGGAATGTGCATCTAATTAAGAATTTGGACTTATAAGCTTAAGTGTAATGCAACATGGGGATGACCTTGGGAAATGAGGGGGGGAAATGATGCATAGGAAAGAATCAGACAAGAAAGGCAGGAGCCCCCAGTGGCTTAACAGCCAGAGGAAGAAACTTACAAAGGACCTGCTCTAATTGATCAGGCAGTTAAAAACAGCAGCAGAAAAGTTGTGATGTCGGCCCTCCCAGATAAATCAGACAGGAAATATAACTACTGTAGATGAACCAGTTCTACTTTATTCTATGGCTAACAGATTGAATTAATTCTGCTACTAATAAAGCTAATTAACAGAATTTTGTAAATCTGAAGGTACAAACTTCAGTCACTGGTACAAACTCGCAGCCCGTGGGCCAGATGCATCACACGCTGACCACGTCCCCTATTTTAGTGAAGGGAAAAAGTCACGAACCATCACATGACAACAATGTGATGTTGCGAGTTTGGCAGCCCTGCATTAGTACATATATACAAGTTTGGGGTACACGGGGTTCTTTCTATCAGTCCACAGATTTTCTTTCTCATATCCCCATGCCAAAGACATCCAGGCAGACTGAAATTTCAGAGTGGTTGCTGACATCTTGTTCTTCATTAAGCAAATAAATGAGCTGAGAGCGGGAACTGGCAATGGGTTTCTTTTCATTAATTGCCCCTTGATTATGTCACCCAATTTTAAGTGGGCTGGTCACATCCAGGAAAGCTGCACCATTGTTTAAATGGGGTGTGGGCTCTTCTTGTCTGCATGCTTTTAATGCTGAAGGACAGGAAACCTGGACAGAGCTGGAAAAGTCTGAAGATTGCTATTTATTCCTTCCTGCTCATTAACAATGTGGAGCGACACTTTCTATGCCAGCTTCAGTGATCTACTGCCTGTTTGAAGCAAGACCTCCTGCTGGGAGGATGTCCGCTCTCAAAATACACTGATTTGAGGTCTCTTCTCTAAGATCTCAGGAGAGTAGAAGCTTCAAACGTTGGCCTTATTAAGACAGCTGCTCTAATGAGATTCTTTTCAGGGAAAGGGCAGTTAATATTTCCAGCTACATTGACTATTTATATTGTTGGATAATTAGTTTAAAAAACCATTAGGTGTCTAAAAAAATTGTTGGGAATAGAATGGTTTCTATAATTAATACTGCAATTCCACAAGTGAATCAGACATACCACATTGCCTCCCTCAGCCTCACATTTCAGCAGTATACTGTTAAAAGTCTGTACTTTAAACAAATGCCTTTCACCACGTGATACTACTAAGTTTCCACAATTTTCTGCCTCACCAAAAGTTCATATTTGGTGCCCAGTCCTATAGGTAGGTTTTCTTTCAGTTTCCCCATTATTTATGCTCTTTTATTCCATTAGAGGTTGTTTTATGGAAGAAATTGATGTTAGATAATATTTCCTGTCAATTATTTTAGAGCAGTTTTTCCTTAAAAATTCAATCACTTCTTCAACCCAACTTAATGAAATTATACTAAATAATATGTATTTATTTCATTTCAGTCACAGACCAGCATAAAACTAACAACATAACAGTAACTCTAAAACAGAAATAAAAATTAAAAAATCATAACAAAATAAGGTAAAATAAAATTATTAATGTAAAATTTCAAAATACAGGAATCAAAACTTGAGGAAGACTTGTAAAATTACAATCTATATTACCATCAATCAACTAAATACTATAGATAACTAAGATAGAAATGATAGAAACTATAAAAAAGCATAAGTAATACTAGGATTTGTAAAACACTATTAGAATGTAAAAGCTATGCTAACTAATACTTGCTGAAGCCCTACTAAGGTTTGTTGGAATTATGACAATTATAATCCAATTAACTAAACAAAGAAATATTGTTAGGGTTAGGATTACTGAATCATAGATAATTGTGGTTGACCTTAACTTTAAAGAAGGGGGATGGGAAACAGGACCATAGATCAAATGTGTCAGCATTGCTGGCTTCTTTTTTAAAAGAAATCCTGGGATGCATTGGTTTCTGAGAAAATAGATTCTAACAGTAGAAATAATTAGAATTTCATGGCATTTGGCCACTGAAGAAAAAGGATCATATTTTATGTATTGGCAGAATTGTAATGTAACTTCTTGGTAACAAATTACTTAGTTGAGATTTCTCCAATCTGGTACCTTCCAGATACAATGGGATTGCAATTTGCAAGGTGATTATGGGTCATACTTCCTGAGAATTTGGGGAATTGCAGATCCAGTACATTTGAAAAATGCTAGGTTAGGAGTCTAGTCTGGTGACTTCACTTCTTGATATTTGTGATTTGTTTTTCCCATTTATCTCTTAGAGGATGTAAACTTGACGCCAAATGACCCACGTTGGATTGGAGCATGGTGGTTGGGTCTTCTCGTTGCTGCTGGTTGTTTGCTACTCTGTTCCATTCCCTATTTCTTCTTCCCTCGATATATGCTGAAAGGGAAGGTAAGTCTCAAGTATTGAATTGGAGATGGTCTTGCTAAATTGCCAATGTCCTGTCCATAATGGAATGTAGCATGTTACATAAGAGGAAAAAAAACTATTTACTTCCACTTTGCCAGTGAGAAATGATTATTTCTTGTTTTGGATTAGCCATTTTAAAAAAATAATAAACTCTTTTTTTACTGTCCTGAAACTGCCTGTGATTAGTTTAATACATAAATTAAATTCACAGACAAACATCTTGATATACATAACAATAGATCCAGATATAATGAAGAGATAAAAATGATACTACATGTTAGCAAAGCCATATAGGGTTTTATAAATAAGACAAATGCTTTTATTTTGAGATGGAAGGCAACTGGAAGCCAATGCAGCCAATGTTGTACAAGGCCACCAGGAGATTTCTAAAATAATCTTGAATACTGCATTTTGGACACGCTGCAGTTTCATTAACTCTTTGTCCCTCTATATTCCATGACCTTCCAAATGACCTTCTGTTTTATTACATTAAAAAGCCTTATTTCATTAATCTTTTTCCATCACATTAATCTTCTGCTTTCTGCTACTCACTCCTTAACAGTCCTTCCTACCAATCTCGGGTCTTCAGGAGTAGTCCCAAAAATGTGGTAATGCTTTAAAACAGAACCTGGAAAAAAAATTAACTGGGCCCGGCAGCAGTAATTTTTTTTTAAAAAAATATATCTTTCTCTTCCATCAGGAAGCATCTGAAGCAGATATCCTGAAGAAGATTGAAAAAGCAAAGGAAGAGTCCCTGATGGTTTTTATCAAAAGTAAAGTGATTTTAATGGAAGTGTATTTCCAGTAAAAGTAAATGATTGCTTTGTTAAATAATTACACCTATTTAGGGAAAAAAACAGCAACATTTCCTAATATCTACAATAGCAACCATCCTATTCATATTTGCAAGTTTAATATGGATTAATTGTTTGGATATTTCAGGTCAACCCATACTAGATTTCATTCAAAGCAGGATAACTAAAAATAGCTATTTATTTCTTACTCGTTCTATTATGATTTGAGTTAGCCATCTAATCGACCCATCTTTCAGTTTTTTTAGGTGACAATATAGTAGCTGGCCTAGCTGGTAGAGGAATTTTCAAATTCTATTCCAAGAGACAATAGATAATCCACACTGAATGAGATATGGTTGAAAAAACATGGCTCTAATAATCATTTAGGCATACTGTATAGTAATTGTTCTGTATAGAAAATTGTTCACTAGTTCCAACTGATGGCTAACTCAGCTGTTTGGCACATATCTTCTAATAGATTTTTTCCCCCCAAATAGAAATCTCATTTCCAATTAAAGTGTTCTGTTCTTCGTAAGATAATGTATATGCGCATGACTTTTCATAATATACAGGTAGTCCTCGACAATTGAGCCCCAAATTTTTGTTGCTATGCAAGACAGCCATTAAGTGAATTTTGCCCCATTTTATGACCTTTCTTGCCACAGTTGTTGAGTGAATTACTGTACTTGTTAAGTTAGTATCATGGTTGTTAAATGAATCTGACTTCCCCATGGACTTTGCTTGTCAGAAGGTGATCCCATGACCCTGGGACACTGCAACCCTCATAAAGAGGAATCAGTTGCCAAATGTCTGAATTTTGATCACATGACTATGAGGATGTTGCCACGGTCATGTGTGAAAAATAGTCATAAGTCCCTTTTTCAAGTGCCTTTGTAACTTCGAATGGTCTGTAAATGAACTGTTATAAGTCAAGGACCACCCGTATTAAGATAAATCTAATCGAGCTAGTTTGGCATACTAAAGAATAAGACTTGAAACCGGGAGACTTTGAATTCTAGTCCCAGTTTTGGCAAAAAGCCAGCCCTAGGAAGGTAGTAATGGCAAACCACTTCAGGGGAGGGGCTTGCCAAGTAATTGCAGGGATGTGTCCAGGCAATCTCCGAGAATCAGACATGATTGAATGGAAAAAAAGTTTAACCTGAAAACTTTCCATACAGCATCTGAGTTTGAAGTTTCTGCTGAGATATAGAGAGCTGATCTTAGAGATTACTCTATAACCTTGGTTCCATCTTCCCGTCTTATGATTGCTTTCCTAAAGTAATTTTATACTTTGTTGATATTGGTTTTGCTTGTTGACTTTTACTTGATGAGCATAGAGAAAAGTCCACAAGGTAGAGGAATATAGCTCTGAGTGAGATATGTGCCTTAACAGTTTGAGAATTTTAGACTTAAGTCTCCTTAGGCTCCAATTCAGAGATATCTCTGAACATAAGACAGTGAAAGTATGAGTAAATGTTATCTGTGTTACTTATCTTATATACTTCTTTTGAACTATTGTCAGATGGAGGGGAAAGAAGACAGAGAGTGGGGAAAAGATTCTAAAGAGCTCTTGTCTTTTTTTTTCCATGAGCATTTAGCAGAAAGCCATTAAAGTTTAAATCAATTGAGCCTGGTCTTCCCCAGTCTAGTGGTTTCTAAATATGTTGGACTGCAACCCTACATTTTCAGCTAGTTAAATACATCTGAAAAATTTCAGATTGGAGAACCTTAGTCTAGGAAAGCATCATCATCTTCAAGAATAGAAGCCAAGTAGACCTACCTTAAGAATTGGTCTTCTTGTTGCAATTCATATCCTTTAAAAGATGCTATAATAATCCTTTGGGTGTACCCATGTCCTGAAGCCCTTTTCCTTTTCTTTCTATTCTTCAAACTCTTCTATTTTTATTTTCAGAGTTCCCGCAAGGCTTCTTAAAACTGCTCCTCAATCCACTCTTCATATTGTTGGTCTTGGCGCAATGCAGCTTCTCCTCTGTTCTTGCTGGGCTCTCTACCTTCCTCAACAAGTACCTGGAAAAACAATTTGGTGCTACCCCCTCTTATGCTAACTTCCTCATTGGTGAGAAAACTAGAATAACTCATCTAATTTGAGCTAATGGCTGAGTCTTTCTGAGAACAAAGCACTGGCTACTTAAACAGAATGTTTAGCTACAGTCCATATTCATTTTATCTGGTAATGTACCAGAGAACAACCACACTATTGAGATTGAAAACCTAATCTGACAAATTGGAAGGCATAGAAAAATTAGCAAATAATCTTCTGTGGGTTGCCAACAGTGTGCCACCAAATATCTGTTAACAACACTAAATTGAGGGCAATGAAAATTAGTTAGAAATTGAAGTACAACTTGATTTGATAAATCTTAAAATATGTCAGGCTGAAACCATGCTTTTTTAATATCTGCATTAAAAATTCTTTTGCCAAGAATATTGCTCTGAATGCACCAGCAGTATAATGGTTACAGGTAACTATCAAGCATTTGTACGCATTCTAGTTGTCAATCCATCCAAAATCCTTCCTTATATAGTTATGTTTGTTATTTTTTAAAAAAAGATATAGTGGCTGTGCAACTCTACCCTTGAGGCCTGTATGGCTGCCTTCAATAGTTAAGAGACATTTTGAATTAAATCAATAAAATAATTCAGTATCGATAAAAGAAAATATTTCTAGCTTAGGATTGAAATGAGGGGTCTTTGGTGCTCACTCCTTCCTAGCAATGATGAGGTTACCTAGTTTGGATGATGAAACACCTACAAGAAAACAGCCAACCTCAGAAAGCACCAAGGACCCCTTGTAACTCAATATCCCTATGATAAATTAAATGTCCTTCTATACAGCAAATAGATACTGTATAGGAGGGTAGAGCCTAGGGCTCTCTTGCTGTTGCTGTTACTGTGAAAAAAAATAATTGGCTCAGTACTGCTCCTCTTTTGCCATGTAGCAGCAGTGAATTAGGACTCGTTTAATGACCGGAGCATGTTCGTTGTTTTCCCTATCACTGAGAATGTTATGTTGGAAGGAGATAATGTCATTTTCCCCTGGTTTACATGCAAGGGTTGCCTACAGCTTACAGCAACCATTTGTACTTTCCCAAGACATTTTTTAAGTGAAAAGCATAAATATTTATCTACTCATTTAAGTTTTATGAAGAGGGGGTGGGATTGAAGGTACTGCATGAATGTTTTAATTTGCAAAACCTTAAGGCTTCCATTTCATGTCTTTAAAATAAAAATCCCTGCATGATTTTCTCCGCCTTTGAAAAGAGTTAAAGAGGCAAATCAACAATTTAGTGTGTGAAAACCCAGATGAAGTTCTCTGCAAAAGAATTGCCCGTTCCTGTGTTTGCAGTTGCCTTTCCTGTATAAGTTGTCTACCTTTTGCTGAATATTTAGTGTGCAAGATTTCTTCAGATTTATATGCAGATTAAAAAAAAAACCAATAGTAATTTAAAGTGCAATAGCTAAGAAATGGAATTGATTATCCGATCCTCGCAATAAAAATAAAGAATGTTTATTATGCAAAAAAATGCAATCCCTTCTGTACCTATTTTAAGACTGATTTCATCCTGTTTCCATCAAGAGATTTTTGTCTTCAGTTGTAGGATTTGTAACTCAATCTCTTCCTTTCCTTTGTAGGATCTGTGAATTTACCTGCAGCTGCCGTAGGGATGCTCATCGGAGGGCTCATCATGAAACGTTTTGCTTTCTCACTCAAAGCCATCCCACGTTTCACCATCGTGGTGTTACTTATCTCCACCCTTTGCTATCTTCCTCTCTTTTTTATGGGCTGCTCTTCACAGACCGTGGCTAGAATTAATCTGTCCAGGTAATAGCAGTACTCTGTGGCAACTAGAACATAGTGCTATAAAATCACGCCACAGAGATTTCTCTTTATCTTGAATTGACAATTTCTCCTTGTCCCAGCCTTTAGATTTTTATTTCATTTCATTTCATTTATTTATTTATTTCATTCCTCCTTATCTAACAAATATGCTCACTGAGTTTAGCGATAATCTCTGAAACGGATTCTTTAGTCAGTGTTTCATTGCGGTTTTATTGTTTTTGCTATTCTGACTTGTTAATTCTGACATATTGCTGAATTGTTTTGGGCAGGGGTATCACTAAAATGATCTTTGTTTTCCAATGATGCTTACACATCTCCTTGCTGCATGTTATGGTTCATATCACTGGCACTGTGTGATATTTGGATGAACTCTTGTCCATAGAGTGTATATTCAGACTACCCCTAATTAAGTTATGGAATTAGGTGGAATTGCCACTGTTTTTAGAGGCTTTAAAAGGTAAGTAGAGGGAAAAGATAACTGTCAGTTGGGATGGCTGAGTTGGTCTTCCCAATTCCAGGACATGAAGGCAGTTAATGCAAATTGCTTTGAGATAACCAGCAAGAGTTCATGTCCAAGCTCTGCCTGTGAATATCGCAGTAATTCCCATGGTAAACTACTCGCATGAATTTTTGCCTCAATTTAGTAGAGCTGTTCTTTTATTATAATATTGCAAAAAGCTGCAAATTATTCATTTAAAACTATTTAGAGACATGAAAGCGATACAGATAGTCCTCAACTTATGACCACAATTGAGCTCAAAATTTCTGTTGCTAAGCGAGATATTTGTTAAGTGAATTTTGCCCCATTTTACAATGTTACTTTGCCATAGTTGTTATGTGAATCACTGTACCTGTTAAGTTAGTAACATGGTTGTTAAGTGAAACTGGCCTCCTTGTTGTCTTTGCTTATCAGAACGTCACAAAAGGTGATCACATAATCCCAGGATGCTGCAACCATCATAAATATGAACCAATTGCCAAGCGTCTGAATTTTGATCACATGACTTTGAGAATGCTGCAGTGATCATATGAAAAATAGTCATGTCCTTTTTTGAGTGCCATTGTAACTTCAGACGATCACTAAATGAATGACTGTAAGTCGAGGACTACCTGTATCAGCTTTCATTAACTCTTCCATTCAAGAACTTGAGCATTTAGAAGGTAAAACGAGGGAAGTCTTGTTCATTCAAAAGGTTATAAGCTCTTTCCCAGAAGAGTTTCAAGCAAATCCCAATATTTAGTAGGCATTTCCTATTATATTTTAGAAGATAAACGCTCATAGAATATATGATCTGTGCTTATAATGAAAGTGGCTCCACTCTTAGTTCTTGAGAAAGCTTATGTAATGCGTTCCATTGTTTCATAATGTTAAATTATCATTGGTCAGGAGTTCCTACTTTTTGGGGAATGACAGGTCCAATTCAAAAAGATAATTGTAAGAATGCGATTCTGCCTTGAGAATGTTACTTTTGCCTTAAGAAGCTTTTCTATTTTAATTCCAATATCATTTTGACATTTGATTTCTACTGACAGGCTTATATTGGATAGATTATTTCAGAAATCAGATGAATTGCTCCCCAAATTATCTACATGTTTGCATATGTAATAATTGTATATGATTTAACTAAACAACATTAGCAATATCTTCAGATGGCAATAGGCCAAGATTCAGGATGGCAAGGACCCAACAATAACAGGCTGGGAATCACCAGTCCACTCAAGAAAACATATTTCACTCATTGGTTCCATGTTATTTTGTCTCCATTTTTTCTGGCAGTACATCAAGTTCCCCAGAACAAAATCCTTGTAACCTTCGTTGCTCCTGCTCAAAGTATCTCTTCCATCCAGTCTGTGGAGATGATGGTGTGGAGTACCTCTCTCCCTGTCACGCTGGCTGTACTGGTTTCTTCTCTAATTCTTCAGCATCTGGAATTGTAAGAGGTTAAGGATGCAGAGTGGATTCAAATCTATCTAGCACTCATCATATAGACAGGGGGGGGGAGTATGGCCAAATCACTCGTAGATAAGGAAGGCAATATGCCATGCATTCTACAGGAATTTCAAGTGCTTTCTCCTTAATGATAGTATTAGAGCAGGATTCATTGCTCAGAATATGTGCTTTTCATGCAGAGTATCTCAGTTTTAATTCTGATTATTTTACTTCTCAAGAAAAAAAATGAAGAAATACCATTATTCAACATAAATAATAAAAAAATAGATGGTGGTAGTACAATAAGATGGCTTTACTTGTAGTATCAAAACAAAACTAGCTTTTTAATGTCCCCAAGTTTAATATGTGTCCTGTCCTATTTATTTAAGAAGAATCCATTTCTTCAATATTTCATCACACTCGATAATTACTCTCAAACAGAAGTAAACAATTTTTTTCAGGCCAGGAGATACATTTAATTTTGAGGAGTATGGTGAGAAGGGACACTCCACTTAAAAATGGGGCAGGACAGAACAGTTGATTTTGTTGTTTAAATTAAAATTTAGCATCAGATCAGTAAATTAAAATATTGTAAATATGTTCATTCTCCAAATATTAAATAATAAATATATTCTCATAATAAAAATTACAGTATATAATAATTTTGGACTCGAAAGCATGCAAATGCAAGTAGATTAATAGGTACCACTTTGGTGAGAAGGTAACAGCCTTCCAGTATGCCTTTGGCATGTAGTCATGCTGGTCACATGACCACAGAAATTATCTTTGGACGATGCTGGCTCCCTTGGCCAAGAAACAGAAATCAGAGCCATGCTCTAGAGTCAGACATGACTGACAGATAAACCTTTACCTTTTTATAGGGCTGAGAGCAGAGATTTTATATTGATGGGGCAATTGGGCATTTAGGACAGAGGTTTTCTTAACATTTGTACTTTTAGGTAGAAAAGCCAGGGATTGAACCTATGATTGAACTTATGATTCTGATAAGTAGTTATGGTCTGATCTTGAAGTGAATTGGTTTCCTGAGGTTGATTTCCCTTATTTTCTTTGAACTAGATCTACACAAATTGCTCCTGTATCTCCACCAAGAATGGACAATCTTCAGCAAAGATTGGATCTTGCTCTGTTAGCTGTGCCCATCTGTTGTTACCTGTTATATTCGTCATCTCATTTTCTGCATTGATTGCCTGTCTATCTCACAACCCTCTCTACATGATGGTGTTACGGTAAGAAGGGGCTAAGGCCTTAGTAGATTGGTTTTGTTGCGAAGTCGTGTCCGACCCATCGTGACCCCATGGACAACATTCCTCTAGGCCTTAGTAGATAGTCCCATGCAATACATCTGCAATTTGTAATAAACACAACTGCCAACTGTAGCATAACAATATGGAATAAAATAAAATAAAACCTTGATATGCTTTAATACAGCTTTTCCCAATCTGTACGCTGTACTTATATTTGAATCAACTTCCAACATTCCTGAACCATTATTCACTGAAATACCTTGAAATTGAAACTCTAACTATCAGCAGGGCAGCCAGGTGCCTTCTGAAAGTAATAAATATTCGCTTTCACCTAGTCTTATTTTTCAAAGTATAGAATTTATGGAATACTGCCACCAGAAATATTTTGCTTTATAGGCCCTTTTCAATTTTAACCCTCTTTTTTATGTAACTAAATGACTAAAAAACTAAACAACTTAAGCCAAATGGGTTACTGAACACTCAGACTTACGGTAGGAAGGCATATATATGACCCCACAAAAAAAAGGTGTCAGGCTTTGAGCTACCACCTCAGCAATGGACAATCCTGAAGAGGATTTGCACCTCACACGGCATCTGCTGGGACTCTCTGTATAAAGGAGGCATTGTATCCTCCCCTCAGGGTGTCAAACTGTAGATCGCAGATTATGACTGACTGTAAGCTTTGAGGCATATACCAGTCCAGTATCTGATTTTTTAAAAATATAAACAGTGCTGCACTTCAGTGGCCAGATGGCCTTGACATTGGTATTTCAATATAGAACTCTTTAACATTTGTATTTATACTGTGTTTTACTAATCTAGGTGAAATGTTAATATATATTGCTAGTCCATGTATGACATGCCATATGCTAAATAAATATGTCACTAATTCGCTGTGGCTGTTTCACAACCATTCATAATCATCCTCAAGCTTTTTAGCTTTTCCCAAAGCAGGAACAAACCATTGCTCTCCCTATCTGGTTTTCTGACATACTTTACTGTATCTTGACTCTAAACAGAGTGGTGTCCTATGAAGAAAAGTCTTTTGCTATTGGAATCCAGTTCCTGTTGATGAGATTACTGGGTGAGTGTCAGCCCAGGTCTGCAATCCTAAAGTTATTTATAAAGCAATAACCCACACTGAACATAGTAGGAATTTACATTTGAGTACACATGCAAAGGTTGTTAGTAATACTATTTGAAGGTTTTTTATTATCAAAAATGTGTTTAGGTAGTCCTCAATTTACGACCACAATTGAGCCTATGTTGCTAAGTGAGAAACTTGTTCGGTGAGTTTAGCCCCATTTTATGACTTTTCCTGCCACAGTCATTAAGTGAATCATTGCAGTTGTTAAATTAGTAACACATTTGTTAAGTGAATCTGGTTTCCTCATTGACTTTGCTTGTCAGAAGGTCACAAAAGGTCATCACATATCCCTGGGGCACTGCAGCCATCATAAATATGAACCAGTTACCAAGCATCCCAATGTAAATCACATGACTATGGGGATGCTGTGACAGTCATAAGTGTGAAAAAAGGTCATAAGTCACTTTGTAACTTCAAACAGTCCCTAAGTGAACTGTTGTAAGTCGAGGACTACCTGTAGTTCCTATGGTCATTCCTGGTAAGATGAACTAAGGATTATTTTTTAAAAAAGAGGGGGGAGAGCAGGACAAAAACATGATAGGAGTTAAATCTGATTTTTTTTCCAAGGAGATTTTTTAAAAAAAAATGAGGATTGAGAAACTTCTGCCCACCAGATGTTTTTGGATTCCATAGACTCATAAAATTGCAAGGGTCCATTGAGGCCCTTACGCCCAATCCCCTATTTAGTACAAGAATCCAAATTAAAGAATTCTAGAAAATTGGATGGCTAGCCATATGCTTGCAATTGTGAGGTAAAAGAAAGTTCTCTGTAGTTTGTTCCATAACTGAACTGCATCTACTGTAGTGTTAGAAAATTAGCCACAATTAATAGGACCGAGAGCATAAATTCTGTATTCTAGTCTGAAGACATCACATTTAGTTCAGAACAGGACTTAACATTCTCTAGATGTTGTTGGGCTGCACCTTCCTTCAAATGCGATCAAAGTCACTGTAAAGTTGAACAGCCTTAGAAATTCAATTATCTAAATACAAGTGTCTAGCTTAACAGTCAGAACTCCAATAATGAGAATTAGATTTCAACCACATTTGAATAATTCTTCCCCCCCCCCCCCTCATTTCACACACATATACCGTATTTGCCGGCGTATAAGACGACTGGGCGTATAAGACGAGCCCCCAACATTTCCACTCAAAATATAGTTTTTGTTATATACTTGCAGTATAAGACGACCCCCCCACTTGGAGGCATGCTTTTCAAGGCAAAAAAGTCGTCTCATACGCCGGCAAATACGGTAAGTTGTAACACTTGGGGTATTCTGGATATAATTCTTGATTGACACCCCCAACCCCTTTCCCCCAAACTTACAAAGCCACCAAAATGCTTTAGAGAGGCAGCTTCGCCTTTCTCAGGCTGGCACTCAATTCCTCTCCCTTTCTTTGTGACAGCCCCCGCGTGCGTGCCATCGGGACTCCAAGGGTGGGGGATGGACAGCTGCCAACTCTCTCTCTCTCTGTCTCTCTCTCTCTCTCTCTCTCTCTCTCTGTGTGTGTGTGTGTGTGTGTGTGTGTGTGGTGTGGAGGGTAATTCCGGCTATCTCTGGCCTCCGCTCGGTTTTAAAGTCGCTTGGCCGGTTCCCAAGTCGCAAGCGCGCGCTGGCCGGGAGACGCGGCGCCGGGTGGAAGCTCGGTGCAGGGGAGGCAGATCTTTCTCTCTTAAGCGGGGAGGGGAGGAGGGGACAAGAGGAGGGACGGGACGGGACAGGGGGCGGGAGGAGGGCGCTCGCCTTCTTCCACCGCCCACCGGACCCTTTTCTTCCCAAGGGGACCCTGGAAAGCAGCTCGGGAGCCGGGTGGCCCTGCCCAGCGGGGTCCCATCAGGAACTTCCTGAGGACACCCCCCCCGCCCCAAGCACAGCCCTCCCGGTCTTTCAAAGAGGGAGGGAGAAGCGGGAGGAGTAAATTGCCGCCCCCGCCCCGCTGCCCAGAAGGAGGGGCGCCACAGTCCACCCCCACCACCTTCTCCCCCCCCCACTCCCTGGGCCATTACGCGGCTCGGGGCTGGCTGGGCGAAGCAGCCCCGCCAGAGACCCTCCCGCTCCACCCCCACCCCACCTCCAGATTGGCCTCCGCAAGCGCCCCGAGCTGGGTGGAGGGTGGGTGGGTGGGTGGGAGGAGGAGGAAGAGAGACTTCGGCTGGGCTTGAAGGGGCTTCGCAAGTTGCGGAGCTCCGCCCCCGTCGCTCTTGCACCGAGTGACAATGTATTTACCGGCGTATAAGACGACCCCCCCACTTGGAGGCATGTTTTTTAGGGCAAAAAAGTCGTCTTATACGCCGGCAAATACGGTAACTTCTTTCTACCCAGGACAATACCAGTAATTACCAATCCTTAAGTAAGTTCTCCAATTCTTTGTTATGCTGAAAATAATGTTGTGGCCAAATATAGATTTGGGATTGGTAAGAAAAGAGCCAAAGACTTATTGAAAACAGTGTGTTCTAAATGGAGATGGCAACTCAGAAACTCATTGGTGGGATGTACATATTGCACTTAACTGTGATAAGTTTTCTTTATAAAATACCTTAATTGCCTTTAATCAACAAATAAAGGAAAAGAAATTAGCTAAACACAAGTTTTAATAATCCCAAAACAAAGAAAAAAGATAAAACAAAAATTGAAAGCAATCGATGCTCTGATAAACTCAAGTTTTAAACAATAAATTAAAATTTGATGACATAAAAGCATTCAGATTGTATTTCCCATAATATTAGTAAAAAGTTTATTCATATGCAAAGGTGCACATTTGTCTTCCTTCCAGGGTTTTAAATCAGGTGCAGATTAACTTAATTCCATTGTTCTTCATATTTCAGTACAGTTCACATTTCTGAAATATAATTTCAGTTAGGGGGATAATTTTCATTTGCTGTTGGATTTGGAGTAAATTATTGTTTTGTTTCAATGTTACTGTTTTGTTTTACTGTAATTTCAAATCCAAATCGAGAAAGATATCAATGAAGTGTGATCTTTCGTATCCTTGAAAATGATATGAACTGTTATATTAAATTAATTGTAATCCGGATCCAATCTTGATTCAGATGATTCCTTGATTATTTTTCCCTTGGAGGAAATATAACTAACAGATAAAAGGTTTTATTGAGTTGGCCCATTGGGGTTTTTGTGAATGTGTAAAAGGTGTTGTGTATTTGGGATGTGAAATACTATTAGGTTTCCTTTCTCTTTCTTTCCAAGCCTGGTTGCCAGCTCCTACCCTCTTTGGCATCCTGATTGACTCTTCTTGCATATGGTGGAAGCAAACCTGCAACAGAAAGAGTGGATCCTGCCATTATTATAACAATGGCGTCTTCCGCAGCAGGTAAGAGATAGTGATAGTTCTCTGTGTGAATTAGACAAGGGCTTTTCTTATCTGGGGTAGATAGATAGAACTGATGGGCAGCTTGCCTTCTATAAATCATATCATAAAGCTGGTATTTACTGGGCCCTTCAAAGGCTAATGTCTATTAATAAATTAGTAGTAGTAGTAGTAGTAGTATCTGCAGCATAATCTAACTTAGTAATTTGCCCAATATTTTCTGCATTGTGCTTAGCAATCAGTCTGCTGCACTAAAATCACTTTTAAGTGATATAAGCAAGATGAAAAATTAATAATTATGAAACTTAAAGCAATAGCAGGAATACCTGCTAATTCATAATGTGGCTTTGTTCTGGTTGTCTCTTAAAAGACTTTGATGCAGTTATCTCTGCATCTGACTATGTATGAACAAAGGTGGTTGATACCTGAATCTTCTTGACTCTTCTTGTTCATGTTTAGCCCTCCCCCGCCCCTCCCCCCCCATTGCTTTGATTGCTGCTCTGCCTTTGCATCGGAATTGGCTGAATATGAAGGCTGATGTTGTTGTTTAATCAGCTTAAGAAATGTACTATTTTGGGGGAGACAGAATTATTTATGCTCCTGGAGCCTAATGTGTCAGTGTCTTGGCCTTCCTTTACAACCACTTAGGATTTTTATGTACATGCACACAACATCGTTTGAGAAGACTTGTTTTGACTTGGTTTTTGAGAGGAAGGTAAATTCCCAGGAATTCCCCCATCCCCTTTTCTCAGAACTTTTGCCATGTGCCTCTTCTGTAAGCACAATCTCCTTATATCACTCGTCTGAGAGGAACTACCCCCCCCCCCCATCCTAATGCAAAAATACTCTTGTCTTCTCAAAAATGCCACCTTTTTCACTTATTTTTAAGCATATTTGTCACAGGCTTCAGGGAAAATATATGAACTGCCATTTTAGTGTATTTTACAGGGTCTGGGTAGACCCACATGCATATTCCTACTTGAATTAGAGTTTACTGGGTGACTTTTGCCACTCAGTCACCCTCTGCTCAAAATGTCTGGTAGGGTTATTGAATTAAATGAGAGAAGGCCACCTGTCCCCCTGCATGGTTTTGAAATACCGTATATTGGCTTTTTGGGGAAATGTTTGTGTATGGAATGCGATAGGAAAGTTCTGTGTATTATGAACATGAACTAGATGTGGCTATTCATCACTAAATAACTATTTCTAGGACAGGCCCTTTAAGGGTGTTGGGAAAGTATATTCTCACAGATTTAATTTGAGGATGAGGATGTCCTCGCCTTGATCCTCAGGCTTCTGCCATCTACAAGGGAAGCAAACTCCTGTGGTGCACAGCACTTGCAAAAGAAGAACCTCAATAGAGAATTTGAGTAACACAAATAGATAAGAAAAAATGGAATGCATCTTGCCAGGAAATCCCCAGTAACGTTCCATGAAGCCTGTCTCAAGAGCAGGGACATACTGTATACCCTTTCTGCCCTTGACTCATGCCTGTCTCTGGCTAGGTGAAGTTAAGAAAACAAGCTTGGCTGTCAGTACATTAGCAATTTCCTCCTTGGGATGCAGATGGGTTGAGCTTTCCCTCCATCCCACCCAATAAAACTCCAGTAACCAAAATTATTAAGCTTTGAGACTTTAATCAGTAACAAAGGAAATCTTTACAATGGCCCTTTGGCATCTCTTACCACATTCTTCAGTGACTGGCCTGTTGGTGTGTCAGGAGATTCACCTCACAAGGAATCTCAAATATTTCCTAGCAAACCAGCCGTGGGAGTGAATTATGAATCCATTGAGTGTAGCTTCAGCCAAGATTTTCTGTTTGTTTCTTCGTTCCTACTTCCAAGGAACAACTAGGAGGTAGAGGTGAGTTCCCTTCCTAGAATAGAGCAGTTGATTGGGGCTAACGTTGGGTTGGCAACGTGCGGCTCCAGAGCCGCATGCGGTTCTTTGGGCCCTCTCCTGCGGCTCCCTGTTGGATGATCCCACCACTGGCTGGCTTCACCTCTCAGCCTCCACTTGCAGTCACTCCTCGCCTACCCTGAGAAGGGAAGGGCAACGGTGGTGGATGGAGACTCGCTCTGTATTACGGAGTGGGAGCGAAGCGACCCTCTACTTGCCTCTTTTTCCAGCCCTTGTTGGTGCTGCACACACCTTGGCCAGAGGGGGAGACACACGACTTTTCTCCACCCCAAGACACTGTCTGGGCCAGCTGCAGCTGATGCTCCTCATCATAATGGGCTCCAGGAGGAGGAGGGGACACTGCCCCCCCTTTGTGAAGCACACTATGTTTAAGCGTGCTGCGCAAGGTGCTGCAAGAGCAGTGAGCAGGCCATGGAGGTGGCGAGAGAAGCGATGTCAGTGTCTTGGGGTGGAGAGAAAGTTGCACGTCTCCCCATATTCCTTTTGCTAGTACTGGGTTCAGCCAACAAGGAGCCACAGCAGGGGGACAAAAGAGCTTCATTTATCTGGGAACCTGAAACGACTCTTGATTTAAATCATATGGTAAAAAGCACCCAAAGGGAAAAAAAAACATCAGCAAAAACAATAAAACCCAACCCTTGCCTAGTTTTGGAAATGGTTCAAGAGGAAACACAAACACACACACACACACACACATGAGAGAGAGAGAGAGAGA